TTATACAATGTTTTATCCCTTAGAATTTCTATTTTGTAATTATTAAAAGAATGTTTAGGCTTTAAAAACATTTTTATCATATATTGCTCTTGTGCCTACATAAAAAAATATAAAAAAAATAAATTGGTTAAGTCATTCTTACTACTTCTCCACATTCAGAGATTCTCATTCAGTTGCTGATACTGCTGTTTTTCCATATAATATCATACTCTGTATTGTCCAGGGTGTTCATGATGCAGCATTTTTTAAGAGTGCTACTCTATCGTCTGTTATTTCTTGCAAGCCTCTGCCACCCATTTGTAAGTTTTGATGCTGGAACTTTCTTGCTTTACACGTGATTGACTATCTTTTTGCTTATATCTCAGTATGAAAACATAATACAGCTTCATCTATTTGTGGTATTTTCCTTTCTTGGGTCCCTTAAAGTCTCAGTTCCCTTGCAAAATGTGGAATGTGTTTATTCCTTCAGGGAAGAACAACATTTGCTTCACTAATAACAAATATATATGTTCTGCTACTCTGTTTCAGTGCTCTCAGCTTACGTCATAACATTTTGATTTAATGCCAAATCATGGTGTAATGGGTTTCAAAACATTTTAAATGTCAATTAAACTCTACCCATGTGGTACGCATAATGCACATGAATCTGTTGAAATGAGGACATAAAAATGGCTATGTCCTGTGGTCAGAGAAGGCCTCTCTGAGGAGATAGTATTTTACCAGAGAAGCTAGCTGTTTGGAAAGTGGAAGAAAGAGCATTCTAGGCTGAAAGAATAATATGATTACTAAGGTCGGCATGCTTAGAAGATGTTCAGACAAATTTGTTGAAGAATGCAAAGACTAATGTGCCCAGAGCACACTGAACAATGTACAGAGTGGTGCAACATAAGGTTGCAAAGAAAGGAGGAGGTGAGATCTTACAGGACTTTGTAGGCCCTCTGTAAATGCAAGGGAAAGTTATCAAAAGCAGGTCTTTGACATGATCCAATTTGTATTTTAAGAGGTTCACTTTAACATATAGTAAAGGTACTATTCAATCAGTGGGAGAAAGAATGAATTAAGTAAATTTTGATCAAATGATTGGTTAAACTATTAGAAAAAAATAAAGTTACAGACTCTTCCTAATAACTATTCACCAAAATAAATTTCAGGTACATTAAAGAATTCAAATTCAAATAAATGTATATCCAACTAGAAATGGAAAATATTTCAGTAAATATGAGATGTTCTTGTGTGCTTCTAACTATAAAAGGAAAAAAACCATAAAACACAGGAATGACTGCATAAATTTTAAGACTTCTATATGCCTACAAGCACTGTATTGGTTAGTATACTTTAGGTTTCAGTGACAGAGATCTCAAACTGATAAACAGAAAAGGGAAATTTATTCATCTAAACAAAAAGCCAGAGGCATCTGGCTTCCAGTGTCCAGTCCTAACCTTAGTAAATATGTGAAAAATTTGTTAGCCACCTTAATAAGTGAAGAAATGTAAATTCAATGGAGATAGAATTTTAACCTACCAAATTAATAAAAGTCGTATTGACACCCAGTGTTAGAAAGGATTCAAAGAAATAGGCACTTTCAAATATTGCAAGTGGGAGTATAAATTGGTATAATTTTTCTGGTGGGAACTTGGAAATGTATTTCAAAAGCGTTAGAATTAGGCTGGGCATGGTGGCTCATGCATATAGTCCTGGCACTTTGGGTGGCTGAGGAAGGAGGATCACTTGAGGCCAGGAGTTTGAGACCAGCCTGGCCAATATAGCAAGACCCCATCTCCCCCCCCCCCCACATTTTTTTTTTGAGACAGAGTCTCACTCTGTTGCCCGGGCTAGAGTGCCGTGGCGTCAGCAGATTCCGGACAGGGGGTGTGGTACCAACAGCCTGTGAAGGTTTCCTTTTCAGGGAAAACTCCTCACCAATTTCCTACCCCCCCCCCCC